TAAAATTTTGGGTGCACTGGCTGAAGTATGGAAGTCAGCCTAAGTATCAACTTAGAGTGCGTCATACATAACATCCAAGAATTTTGCTAATCTATGTTGCAACTGTGACATGGTAAACTGATTTCGCATAAGCAGCTGAACTAATCTATGGCACCCCTAAAATAGCCTTTATTTCATTCCATTCTACCACAAAATTTGAAGCCAACAGCAATATTCAGCCTCCAGGAAACCTTCAAGATCACAAATAAAACTGGCAGGTGTGAAAGTAGATTATGGTGCTTATAAGTAAAAACAGCTCCAGTTTTCCCAACATTTTTGGTTTCCAATTCCTTTTTCATCTTAATTAAACTGCCTATTGCATTATAAAAATATTCCTGGTTACAGCTCCCCTTACTGAAACTTCTGCTTCACAGTTCTTTGCTTACAAAACTCATCAAACATCATAGCTCTTTCAACCAAAATCAATGCTGAAAAAATGAAGTAACAGAGTTCCTCCTCACTATGCTAATATCATCCTCATTCTAACCATAAAGTATTCATAAATTTTGCTTGCTTATAAATAAATGTAAATAGTACTGTACACTACTAGTTATTCTGCAAGAAAGCTACACCTTTTTGCTTGATATTTTACCAAATGCTAGCTATTCAACAATTTGCAAATCAGCTTTCTTGAATTTCCTCTCTCCCTTATCTGTTGTTTATCGTTCTTCCTTATTCTTCCTTATTTCTTTCAATTATCTTATCATCTTGTATAAAAAACAGCAAGAACTGTCTGGCAATAAATGAGGTAAAAATGGACTATCCTGTATAATTGGGATTTCAAAGTTCTCTTTAGTTTGTAGAGTGCTGACTTCCTTTGGCATTTTGAACATTAATTGGAATTCACAAGAAAGCATTTATAAAAACTGGCTCTATCTGGATAATCAATTCCAAGAAAAAATTCAGAAAAAGAAAATCTAGAAACTCTACTTTAACTGGCTCCAATTTCAATTTGCAATATGTAATTGAGTTTGGGGAAGAAATCCTCTGTATTCTTGGTTAATATTTTTCAATATTTTTTTGTACTGTGCCTCCTACCTTCCCTCAATATCCAAGACTTTTTTTCTCTTTTTCTCACTGCAACCATTATAGTAAGTACAGAAATGCAGTTTGACTATTTCATTGCTGCCTCTCTGGATACTCTGACATGACATATGTCAATGCAATGCCCTATCAAATGAGGCTGAATTTCCAATAATCTGGGATATACTGAAGGGAATGCTACACTTTCTAATGCTCTTACTGTTGGCAAATTTCTTCCCTGATTTGGTAAAACAACATGGCTTGGCCTCTGTTCTTTGTTATTAAATATTTGGATTTCCTTTGCACAGTGCTCATTTTATAGTAAAATTTCTTCCCTTATTTTTATCCTCCCTGCCCCACTCTTGCAACAGAAACTGTGGCATCTTGTGATATGCAAATTAGAGGCTACCCCCTCCCTGCCCATACTCATAAGACACTACATATGCCCCTAACTATAATGTCTAAAACAATGCCCTTCTTTTTTTATACTCTTTGTTGGATCAAGGAATGGGTTGTAAACACTATTCAAATAAAAATAAGTAAACAAAAATCAGGGGGGACTGAAAATCACACCCAAACCTATCCAAAAAAAATCAAATAAAAAACAGGCTACTTATCTCTCCTTTCCAAAAACTTTCACTTTTACAAAAGAGCTTTGTCAGTGATGTGTAATAAGTAAAGTTAGCCCTTTTAAAATAGAATTTAAAAATTCTGTAATTTTTTTTTCTTTTTTCCTTTTTTTGTTAAAAGATGTAAACTTTTTTTTTGTTTTATAAAGTCCAATAAAAACTTATGATCTGAAATCAGTATCAGTTTCTGATTCTATAAAACCTTGAATTTGTGGCCAAGAGAAAACTAATTAAACTATCTGATTCTGAGGAAAGAAAAAAAAGAACAAAGGCAAAAAAATCAAAACACTTGAGATTTCTCTTTTTCACGTCCCTGATAAAGCCCAATAGTAATAAGTAAATCTAGCACTATGTCGTGGAAACCAGGTATACTGTTAATCCATTATAATCCATTAGGACAGTGGGTGTTATCTAAAATCAACTCTTCTTTACTTCCAATATAACCAAATCTGAAAATACCTTTAGAAGGGATTCCTTTGAAATTCAAACACTTACACATTTAACCCAGTGCCGCCTGGAATGGCATTTAAGGGCACGTCATGCCCACTGTGAGTTTAGTAAATCAATTGTCCTTACACATAGATGAACCTAGATGCTAGTACTACTGCCTCACCCGTTTACCTTTCGCTATGATTTTGGGAAATATTTTACATTAATTTATACTGCTATTAGTAAAATCAATACCATTATAACACTTACAATGTCTATAACAATAATTATAATAATTAATAGTATTGATATCGATAACATTAGTTAAAAAACAACAACTAAAAAGGTGAAACCTGGTGAGGTCATGAGGACTACTTATT